GCATATGGTTAATATGATTATTACTAGCAATAAATCGTAAAAATATTCGCTTATAAGTGAAGTTCTGGGGTTACTGATTATTTTTGTTTTTTTTTTGTACAGTGAATACAGGCGTTCTTTCGAAGCTAGAAATGGTTTTTACAGTGATTTTATTAGTAAAATGTTAAGTTCCTAAAAAGTACTTTATACCGTATAAATAAGTTAACCGGGCAATTGATTTACATCAGCTAATCATACAAATGTCTCCCTATGAGGTCTAATCACTAAAACCAAGTCAATAAGGATAAACTCGGATAGAGATACATGAAACAAAATAATGAGTTGGCTTTATTATGCTAACTTAATGACTTGGCTTTATTATGCTAACTTAATGACTTAGAAAATGCGCTATTTATATACTATACAATTTATAACATAAAATACAATAACAAATATATCAAGAATATCTAATAGTGAACTCGTCAGTCCTAATCCTACTCTAATAATAATAATACTGCACTAATAATAATATACAAATGATACTTGTTCGACATATTGCTTTCGAAGTTTTCTTATTCCAGCACAGTAATTATAAATCCAAAATTCTCTTTAACAATATTAAATGTGATAATATCAAATGAAACCCAGCAGATAATATTAAAATCAATATCTAGGTTTGATTCTAACTTTCAATTCACTACATATTCTGATCATGGCATACTGATATTTTATAGGGACATCTTTTTCAACCAACTCAACTTCATATTTTCGGAAAAGTAATACCAATAATGTTTTCATTTCAGCAAGCCCTACAACACGACCCTATAGGCAAAATTTTAATTAATTAAATAATTATTATAAAGAGCCAACTAAAAAAATAAAAGATACAAACCGGACAAATTCGAGTACCACCACCAAACATTGAAAATGCGTTTTTATTGATCGTTTCACCATCTAAAAATCTCTCAGGTTTAAATTTATCTGGATCTTCCCAATCTTTAGGATGTAAATGAATTGCTTGTTGATTTATCAAAAATTGAGTATTTGGTGCGAATGTATAAGAACCGATTGTTTGATGTTTGTCAGAGGCTCGGAGATTTACTGGGAAGGTTGGCCAAATTCTTGAGGCTATTTGAAATAAATAAAATTTTAAATTTAAAAATCTTTTTAATTGCTATAAAGAAAATGAGAATTTCGAGTTATTTTACCTTCGTTAATAACAGCTTCACAATATTTCAGATTATCTATGTCTTTTAATGTAATTTCCTTATTAAGATCTTTGCCTAATATTGATTCGATTTCTTGAACAACTTTTTGCTGAACTTCAGGATATTTTGCTACGTAATAGATCATATATAACATATTATTGGATGTCTAAAAATGTAGTTAAATCGATTAGATTGAAAAGAGAGATTAAAAGATTGATAGCAACATAATCTAAATTTTACCGTAAAAACTCCACCGGTAAAAATTTCCGTAATAATAGCTTTAATTTCTTCATCAGACATAGGTGATTTATGTTTTTCATCACTGATACCTTTAGAGACATCCCGCTTGGTATTTATTGTCAATAATTGAGTTAAAAAATCTTGTGACAATTCTTCTTCCACATCACTATTTTCTATTTGATCTCTGCGCTTCTTAACCATCTCCAATAACAATGAATCTAACGATTTCTTTGCACCGAATAACATATTAGAAATCGCTTTATTTTGACCTGGTTTATTTCTCCAAAATGTTGGTGCCAATGAATAGAAATGAAGGGCATGGACGAACATTAAAACGCCTCCAATCAATTGCTCAGTAAATGGAGATTGTGAATTAGGTTTCAAAGAATTATAATAATTAGCAATCGAATTAACTCGCATGTTGGTCGCCAAGCACATGATATTTTCCAAAGCAAATCTTTTTATCCATTCAGTAAGATCAACTATAGGTTCATCAATTTCTTTCCAATATTTTTCTATTTCTGCAAATGAAGTTTGAGAAAATTCTATAATCTTTTGACGAGATTGAGGAGTCATTAAAATTTTGGAGTAAAATCTACGAATATAATTCCAATCATCATATATATAATTGAAGATAATGCCTTTATCCATAACTCCAAGTGTTTTACAACCATCATTTATGGGTGTACGAAGTCGAAAAGTATTGGTTGTCGAGGAATTCATAAGTTTTTCAACAAGATCTGACCTGCATAATGCTACTGCTCGGTTAGGCCCTAAATAAACTTCAAACATGTCGCCAAATTTTGCATGTAGTTCTTGCATCCATGCTCCGGCATCACCAGGATATAAATGTATCGATCTATATTTGTTGAGGAAAATACAATTGATTAAGAATACTATACAAATGATTAAGTAACAATTTTATACAGTATCTGATATCAATTTATATCAGATAAGAATATTTTTATGCATTACCCTAGAATCGGCAATGGAATTGGGCCGGGTAAACGATTGGGATTGCTAAAGTAACGAATGTAAAAGCTAAGAACATAAATCAATATGCAGACGACAAAAGCAATTATTATGTCCTTTGGTTGTATAGAAATAAGTGAAAATAATGTTTGGGACATTTTTTTATTTTGAAATATTTTTGTAATCAAGTTTTGATATTTAATTTAGATAAGAGATCAAAATTTTCTCGATTGAAATTAAAGCTAGACTGCAATTCAAATTTTGGCATTTTTATAGCATTCTAAATCACTAAAATACTACGCGTCCTGTTTCTTTTTTAAAACTATTTTGTAATTTTTTAATTTTTTTTTATTTATATCTTAATTACTGCATGCAGACTATATGGAATAATTTCTATTATAAAAGGAAATGAATTTATTCATGATATCAAATATGATTACTTATTAAAGTAATTAAAATAATATCTTGCTGATCTAGAATTCTAGAAAAATTAAATTCTAGAAAAA